TAGATAAGATGTTGAAGTTTGAAGAAGCCATATTTACAGTGCCTGTAGATAAGATGTTGAAGTTTGAAGAAGCCATATTTACAGTGCCTGTAGATAAGATGTTGAAGTTTGGAGAAGCCATATTTACAGTGCCTGTAGAAAAGATGTTGAAGTTTGGAGAAGCCATATTTACAGCGCCTGTAGATAAGATGTTGAAGTTTGGAGAAGCCATATTTACAGCGCCTGTAGAAAAGATGTTGAAGTTTGGAGAAGCCATATTTACAGTGCCTGTAGATAAGATGTTGAAGTTTGAAGAAGCCATATTTACAGTGCCTGTAGATAAGATGTTGAAGTTTGGAGAAGCCATATTTACAGTGCCTGTAGATAAGATGTTGAAGTTTGGAGAAGCCATATTTACAGTGCCTGTAGATAAGATGTTGAAGTTTGGAGAAGCCATATTTACAGTGCCTGTAGATAAGATGTTGAAATTTGAAGAACACATAATATTGATAGTGCCTGTAGATAAGATGTAGAAGCTTAGAGAACACATAATATTGACTGTGCCTGTAGATAAGATGTAGAAGCTTAGAGAACACATAATATTGACTGTGCCTGTAGATAAGATGTTGAAGTTTGGAGAACACATAATATTGACTGTGCTTGAAGATAAGATGTAGAAGTTTGGAGAACACATAATATTGACTGTGCCTGGGAATAAGATAATGAAGTTTAGAGAGCACATAAGGATTGGATTGGATTTTTTACCCCACCAGGACATCACACAAGCGATAAACACCCGATGACACAAAGTGCCACCATGCGGATGAGGATCACCGTGGAGAGGTCCCAGAAACCGCGTTCAGACATTTGACCATAATGATGACCTGCCTATATTGCGGCCCCTGGCAAAAGCCAGAGTGGGGCTTCAAATAACAAAAAATAACGTCCTAAGAAGGACGAAAAGCAGTAATAGAGAGCACATAACATTGACAGTGCCTGTTGATAAAAGGTTGAAGCTGAGAGAACAAAGAACATTAAAAATGCCTAAAGATTTCTGATTACTTGTTTATGAATTGACATCATAGCACATCAGGCCTACTCATAAATGCTTTGTCTTCTGCAACAAATGTCTTGCGGTGTAGATGCTAACTGTTCCCATAGCACACTGATTATACACACATGGTTCTCTTCCTCTCAAATGTCCCTGCATACCAGATCCTCTCCTAATTCATTATTCACAAATTCTGACACATGTTATTTCATCTAATCTCATGTCTCCTGTCAACATTCATTCTGGTCTTCAGAATATCTCACTTGTCCAGTACAAGTGTTCCCCTAGCTATCGCTTTTGCAAACAGAAAATCCTTTCTTTCCTTCTCTCGCACTCCTGATGTCTCAGACAGAATATCCAAGTGACTCCATGCAATGTTGATGTACTGTTGTTTGGTATTCATGTATGCCATATTAGTCAATTTTGAACCTTCTGCAGTACCGACTGAGAATCCGACACAATAATTCCTCCGCTAACTTTGTTTTCTGATATCCAGATCAGAACTGCAATGTTTGCATTCAGCTCTAACCTCTTGCTTCAAGTTGGTAATAAAAATGCTCTATTTAATTCTGCCAAAATCTTTCCCCTTCATTCTAGATGAAAGTTCCCTGTCAGATCTTACATCCCGATGCACAGAACTATATGTTTACACTACTGCATCATCTAACCCATCCTTTTCATCTATCAGTTGTTGTACCTCAAATTCAGCCATGCCTTTAACACCACTCTCTAATTCTTTTTCTAATCTGATTACCTCATGGAAACTGCTGTTGTGGGTGTTCGTGTTGACCCATTCCTGCCCAATGTGTTCTTGCTAGAGTGAAGCAGCCGTCTTGATGGTATCTTCACCTAGTCCCATTCATGACTTTTATCTTTTCAACCGGTGTTCCCCTTAAATCTTTCAGATTGCCATGCAGCGGATACCTTTCATCAGTGTTAACTTGTATTGCCTAAAGATAAGATGTTGAATTTTATAGAACAAAGAATATTAAAGGTGCCTGTAGATAACATTTTGAAGTTTAGAGAACACGGAATATTGACATGGTGGCAGTCTCCTTTTATGATAATCTAGACAAGTCATGACCTTTCGATGTGAACGTCTTCAGGTTTTACCAGTCAGTCAGTGGTGAAGAGGAAGAGGGTGGGTTCACACACAACTCCTCATGATGCTCATGATACTGTTGCATACCAGAACACAAAACTTTATTATAAGTTTCACTTTTATTAATTGACAACATGTTTTCAAAAAACTGGAAATTTTATGTCTTTTCAAATTCAATATAATAACTATTCTTTTGATGTACTGGTTACTTTAGATTTATATTTCCACTAGTGTATAAGTTGCACCAATAGCAATTGTTTGTTTTTTTAACCACTTTCTCTATAGGCACTACTATCACATGCCATCCTATCTGCTAACTAACTTCAGCTAAGCTGGATATAGTTATATTCTTGATTGATTTGCTGTTGTCTGTTCTGTTTATTGCTTTGTTTGAATCTATGGCTACAGGCCGACAGCCACCACAATCTCTCCTGTTTACATGCCTTTTTTGTTAGATTCATAATTCACTTCAACAGATCCACCTGCAGGTCACCACACTGCTGGATCTTCTCCCAATGCAGTATACTCTAATACATCTTGTAATTGTCATCTGTAGTATGATCAACCCTTTATACATCCACAGGCCAGTTTCTATTATTTCTTTTCTCGACTTCTCTTTTTTCTTGGTGCATCACCTAGACTGTAATCTACTATTCTTCTAACTTTATTCTGTCATGCTCCACCTATTGTACAAATCTACTTGGGTTTTCTATGACTAGCCCTGGGCCAGCAGGTCCAAGTCTATAACATCTAAGTGTTACGTGACCTGACTGTCCTAACCCCCCACCCTTTCCGGATTTGTCATATATTCCACTTGTTATCCTAACCCCAAAAATGCACATTAATGCCCCGTCAGCTGTCAGCTCTTTGATGACTTTCAGCAGTCAGGAGAAGATGCTACTGTTAATGGCCTTCATGAGATAGGACGATCTGAGGATTTTGGGAGTAGCATGTCCACATCACTGCTAAGAATGTGAGAACTTCGAGTTAAGATCAGCACAGCCAAGCATAAAAGTTACACTGGATGTACAAGAGGTTACCTCTGGATGCTAATCTATATCTTGAAGGGGTAATATGAGCAACTAAGGATGTCTGTGCTGCGGTGAAGATAACCCAACTCATATTTGATTTATTTCAGCTATGTGTTCCAGTGTCCGGTGTTATCACTTTGCAGGAAATCTAACCTTATTGGTCCATTGATCATTTAAAATCAATGTCAATGCAAATAATTCATATCCTTGACCTTCCAAACATGTAGACTTTAACTCTGTCTCTAATTGCAAATAAGCATGTCGACTATTAACCCTTCCGCGAATACGACCTCACTCTTCTATAAGAAAATCCACACCGCTGGTCTGCCATCTACATTACTGTTCTGTAATCCCATGGTGCCACACTGTTAAGTAACATCCCAGGGAGGGGGAGGGGAGGGGAACTGAACGCAAATACTGTAGTGAACCAATTGATGGGATATTTCACGTACTTGGTCAAAGGAAAGTTACAATAATTATATTGGCAAGGGTTAAAGTTTGTCTCTCATGTCAGATGCTGCTATTGTATACAAAGTTTTCCCTTTAAAATGGAAACCAGTAGAAAGGCTGGTAGATCTTATAACATGTCCACACCATTGAATTTTGCATTATTTTATGTTGTTAAAAGATGTTAATAGTTTGTAATGTGTTTAAGCAATGATTTGGCGAACATCATTACTCTTAACATAGTCACTGTAGGATGTATAAAAAATGTTGCCAAAAAATCTTAATTTTAGTATGCTGGAACTCCAATATTCGTCATTAATCTTTTCCTGAGGTAAGGGTGAATATTTAAAAGGATGAATATCAAACGGTTTTACTTGCCCTGATGACGTTAACATACTGTAGGTCAACATAAACATATAAGAAATATTCTTTAAAAAAATTTTTTTTATCTTTTGGATGAAAAAACTGGCAATTGTTTGCAAACGGAGTCACCTTCCATTTTAATTGATGTTTTGTTTATTTATCAACATTTGCAGATGATTTACCAGCAATTTGTAGTTGTTTTGTTGTTGTTGTTGTTGTTCTAAAAGTGTTCAAACACACTGTCATCAAATGAACTGATACGCTGAATTACTTTTGCAATGTCTGAGTACCATTTCTTTATGAAAACTTGCATTTCTGCCCAAGTGGACAGCCATTCCTTAATTTCAGAACTTGGATCTGGTCCATCATCTTATTTTTTTTTTTTAATTTCAACAAATTGATTACTCACCAGCCATGTTGGAGGAGGGACGAATATTGAATTTTCTTTTCAGACAAATATCAAAGATAAATGTCAACAAAAAAGCTGGACAAGTTTTGAGAATGATGAATACTGGCATGGACAAATACTGGAGCTCCACCGTACTTGTATTTTCTATTTGAGTTTCGGATGATAAGATATACATTTCAAAATAAAGTACAAAGTCTGGCTACCAGCGCCCCATTTTTAGTGAGATATAATAGATCCTCAGTTCCTTAACAAACTTGTTATAAAAGGCAAATAATTAAGTATTTGCTGAAACTGGATGTGTTGCGCCAAAAGGCACAGATATCACAGCCTTGCTGTAATTGAATGAATAAACAAACAAATGAACAAACTTATTTCAAAGAGTTAAAAACTGGTCACACAGACCTATCTCAACCACAAAGACAGGTCTGCCTGACCAGTTTTTAACCCCAACACAATTGTGTCAACTGCCCTTCTATAAGCAAACACAGAAGAAGAAGGCACAAGCAAATATGAAAGTGCTGATTGCTCATGCCTTGAGTAGTCTGATCAAAGAATCAAACAGGACACACACACAATAGGATTCCATAAGGCAGTGATGGTGCTGATATGCAGGTAGATTTAAAGTACAGTTTCATTAAATTTGGACACAGCCAGTAATGTAGTTGAGTATGTATAAGATACAGACGACCACATGGGAAACATCTCTGAATTATTGTTGTATCCATGAAATTCTGTTGGTGTGGGATAGCCAAAATGTTTCTCTTTCAGCATGGCATTGTATTGCTTCTCTGGTATATAACCTTGAACTGCATATATGAAGGTGGAGTTTGGAATGTCTGTCCAGTTAGAGATAGTTGTTCCATTGAGATATTCTAATCTGTTGCCAGGATACCAGAATGGTAATGTCTGAAAGTAGATTAACTCTTCAAGTAATAGAACATTTAGCTGGAAATGTTCAAGGTAACAACAGTCTAAGTGAACATAAACAACATATGAGAACGTGTATTACATACGACTCAGCATAATTACAAAGGATTTTTAGAAGTAACTAGTCGCTTTTTTTTTTTAAAGTATATTACTGGATGAAACACTTTATCGTGGTTTGATACTTATGGGCAGTATCTGATATCACATGGTGCGTTGGCTGGGACTGAAGGGGTTAATATGAGAATATTTATGATGTTAATTACCTCATTTTTAAAAATCTCTATATTTGACTGTTTTTGTTTCCATGGAATACAACCTGTTATTCCGTATACCAACATTTCCAGAGACTCCATTCGATTTTATAGCTACTAGTTCACTGTCCAAGCTTTTGCACTATACATCAGGGCTGGGCATATGTAACACTTGATAATTCTAATTTTCTTTAGCGTGTTATTTATCTCTCTAGCTGTCAATGATTTGTGCTTCTTACTGAAGGTAGTTTTAGCCATTCCTATTTTTTTTTCTTATTATTTCTGTTTCTCTTCTGCCATCATCTGTAATATTTGTCTTAGATAGGAGACACCTGTTCTAATAGCTCTATAGATAGCAGAAACTTATTCTAATAGCTCTATAGATAGGAGAAACCTGTTCTAAAAGCTCTATAGATAGAAGAAACCTGTTCTAATAGCTCTATAGATAGAAGAAACCTGTTATAATAGCTCTATTGATAGGAGAAACCTGTTATAATAGCTCTATTGATAGGAGAAACCTGTTCTAAAAGCTCTATAGATAGAAGAAACCTGTTCTAATAGCTCTATAGATAGAAGAAACCTGTTATAATAGCTCTATTGATAGGAGAAACCTGTTATAATAGCTCTATTGATAGGAGAAACCTGTTATAATAGCTCTATAGATAGAAGAAACCTGTTATAATAGCTCTATAGATAAAAAAAAACCTGTTATAATAGCTCTATAGATAGGAGAAACCTGTTATAATAGCTCCGTTGATAGGGGAAACCTGTTCTAATAGCTCTATAGATAGGAGACACCTGTTATAATAGCTCTATAGATAGGAGACACCTGTTATAATAGCTCTATAGATAGGAGAAACCTGTTCTAATAGCTCTATAGATAGGAGAAACCTGTTCTAATAGCTCTATAGAAAGTAGAAACCTGTTCTAATAGCTCTATAGATAGGAGAAACCTGTTCTAATAGCTCTATAGATAGGAGAAACCTGTTCTAATAGCTCTATAGATAGGAGAAACCTGTTCTAATAGCTCTATAGATAGGAGAAACCTGTTCTAATAGCTCTCCGTTGATAATGATGTTCACTGTTGGTTGCTTTTATATATTGTTAATTACAATATAGACACAAATTTCATTTGGCAAAGAACATCATGATGTTAATGATGATGATAATGATGATGATGATTATGATATATGTGTGTGTGCATACATCGGTCACATACATATCTTCTAAAAATAAACCAATCTGCTATTGATAAGATCAATTGTATTGAGAACATTCTCACCTCAAAACTTTTTGTAGATCCTGAGAAGAATGCATTCCATGGTTTGAAGTCCCTGCTAAGAGAATACTGTCTTAGCCACTTTATACAGCCTGCCACTGTCTCTAGAACGATCCGGGGTGTTCCTTTAGTATTTGTAGGACAAATATATCAGTGAGAATACCATTGTAGAATAGAAGATGAAATGGAAGGCAATAATCATCTTCATGTTCAGAATAATTATAATTCTGATGAGAGTATGTGCCGAAAGAGAAGAAAAAGAGGAGAGAAATGGAGTAGTAGTAGTAGCAGCAGCAAAAGCAGCAGCAGTAGCAGTAACAAAAGCAGCAGCAGTAGAGGTAGCAGTTGTAGTAGCAGCAGCAGCAGCAGTAGTAGCAGAAGAGGAAATGTGCAGATATCACAGGCTAGCGTATAAAAAGAGAAAGAAGAAGAAGAAGTAGAAGCAAAAGATGAAGAAGAAGCAGAAGAAGAAGCAGGATAAAGAGGTGGAGGAGAAGGAGAAGAAAAAGAAAATAGAAGAAGAAGAAAAAGAAGAAGAAAGAACAAAAGAAATATAAAAAAGAAAAAAAAGAAAGAAAGAAAGAAAGAAAGAAAGAAAGAAAGAAAGAAAGAAAGAAAGAAAGAAAGAAAGAAAGAAAGAAAGAAAGAAAGAAAGAAAGAAAGAAAGAAAGAAAGAAAGAAAGAAAGAAAGAAAGAAAGAAAGAAAGAAAGAAAGAAAGAAAGAAAGAAAGAAAGAAAATAAAAGAAAGAAAGAAAATGAAGAAATAAATAAAAAAGAAAGACATGAAAAAAGAAAAGAAAGAAAGAAAGAAAGAAAGAAAGAAAGAAAGAAAGAAGAAAGAAAGAAAGAAAGAAAAGAAAGAAAGAAAAAAAGAAAGAAAGAAAGAAAGAAGAAAGAAAGAAAGAAAGAAAGAAGAAAGAAAAAGAAAGAAAAAGAAAGAAAGAAAGAAAGAAAAGAAAGAAAGAAGAAAGAAAGAAAGAAAGAAAGAAAGAAAGAAAAGAAAGAAAGAAAGAAAGAAAGAAGAGAAAGAAAAAAAAAAGACAAGAAAGAAAGAAAGAAAAGAAAAAGAAAGAAAGAAAGAAAGAAAGAAAAGAAAATAAAAGAAAGAAAGAAAATAAAAAGAAAGAAAGAAAATGAAGAAAGAAATAAAAAAGAAAACAAAAGAAAGAAAGAAAGAAAGAAAGAAAGAAAAAAGAAAGAAAAGAAAGAAAGAAAGAAAGAAAGAAAGAAAGAAAGAAAGACAAAGAAAGGAAAAGAAAGAAAGAAAAGAAAGAAAGAAGAAAGAAAAGAAAGAAAGAAAGAAAGAAAGAAAGAAAAGAAAGAAAGAAAGAAAGAAAGAAAGAAAGAAAGAAAGAAAGAAGAAGAAGAAGGAGAAGAAGAAGAAGAAGAAGAAGAAGAAGAAGAAGAAGAAGAAGAAGAAGAAGAAGAAGAAGAAGAAGAAGAAGAAGAAGAAGAAGAAGAAGAAGAAGAAGAAGAAAGGAAGAGATACAAAAGAAGAAGAGGGGATGAGGAGGAAGAAAATAACAACAACATTATTAAAAACAAAAACAAACAACAACAAAAATAATAACTACTTTTACTCAAATGACAAGAAAACACCAACAGCCTAGAATGTAAATTATGCATGAAAGTGATGGATTCATGAAATAAATCAGAAGAAACACAAACAAGAAACAATTACCTTGTTTCCAGTGAGATTTTCTGGAGAAACTGTCGTAATAACTCCAGGCAGACATCAAGGCTAGGGCTGCCATAGATGTTGTAAATATTCTATCTTCTGCCCGATTCTATAAGAAATAAAGTGATTCAGAGAACCCTTCTCACTATTGGTGCATCTAGGATATGGCATAAGGTGCATATTTTTGTAAACCAATAAGCACTTGATGGAATTTGTGGTCAGTATCAAGATGGGCACTTTTTCTTCCCAGGACATTTCCTGGAACCCATTTAAATTTTGGTCAGTCTAGCATTCCAAGTCAATTATGAAAATTCACTTCAGTCTTGATCTTAACCAAAGACTGCCTACCTAGCAGGCAAGTGTCTTGCTACTGAACTTTCAAAGCTCCCACAAGAAATGTGCATCTTCAACCTTCAGGCAGCACACTTTCTCACTGTTTTTATGGGAAACACATTTAAAAGTAAAAGACTTATGTATACTTTTGTCTTCTTCTTCTTCTTCTTCTTTCTTTTCTGCCTTTTATTCCCCCAGAGGAGTAAACACTCTCATTTAATGCGTGCTAGGTTGTCATATCTTTAGAATCATCCCATGTCCTCCCTATCTTTTCAACGTCCCTTTCCAGTTCTCTTCTCCGTGTGTTTTTGGTCTGCCTTTATTTCTATGCCCCTGTGGGTTCTAGTGCAAAAACATTCTAGTTGTATTGTTATCAGGTTTTCTCAAAGTGTGTCCTAGCCAATGTCAGTATCTTTTCTTGACCTCTTGATTCACCGGAAATTGTTTAGTTAATTGCACATGCAGTTAATCATATAAGGCACCACCAGTCCTCTGGCAACAGTCCAGTCACCATTTTGTGAATTTGCAGTTCACAACACAAACCATGCTGGACACAGACAGAGAACTCACAGCGTCACGCCGTGATGGAGCTATATCCTTTCAGTCTGCGTATAGAGGAAAATGCAGTAGCTAACTATTGTTGAAAGCAATATTTTTCCATGACTAAAACAGTAAACTAGCCTATCCACTATACTGGCGGGAAGTGTCCCATATCATGAAGTGTATTATGTATATGGTATATGTAAGTGTTGGCTGTAAATAGTTCTTTAAGATCTTGTTTTTTACCTACATTGACCTGTATGTAGTGCAAATATATTTCTTCAATTTTTGAAATTATTTACTGCATTTACTTATCTAGATAAATATTTACTGAAAATATTATTCTTAATTCTGTGAAATTATTCACTGCACATACTTATCTAAATAAATGTTAAATCTTCTTCTTTTCCTTCTCCTCATCCTCCTCCTGCTCCTGCGCCTCCTCCTCCTACTTTTTCTTTTTTTTCTTCTTCTTCTTCTTCTTGTTTCCATTAAAAAGGCAGCTAGCAAACTGTTGTGGACTGCAGCCAGCCTGTCATATCCGCACCCTTCATTCCAACACACTTAAGTAAATCCTAGATAAGCTACTCTTTATGTCATGCTTGCTAAGGAGTAGTGGTCTATTTTTTTGTCACCTAACAATGTAAACCCACAAGGGGATTTAAGGTATCTAAATAGCCACAGTGGCAAAGTTGTAGCACACATTTCACTTGAGACAGTGGTAAAGTTTCAATGCTCAGAAGTGGCAGGTTTCATTTTCTGGCCAGCATGTCATGTTGGATCTACCCAGTCTCATAAATAATGTGCACAATTAACAGGGAATGAAAGGTAGCGAGAAAGTAAACTGGCTACCCCAGCTCATATATCATTGCCCAGAATATGGGAAGATTCAATATTGCATGCACCAATAATAGTAGTAGTGGTGGGCAAGCCCTCAACTCAATGGCAAATGAATCACTGTAATTGAACTGTTCCTGTGTCAGTGAAAATTACGCAAAAAGCTTTTCACTGTCCTAACCAGCTAAATCCAGGAACATACATTTCCAGTAAATGCATAAAGCAAGGGTTAGAGATTAGTGGTTAGTCACCACTGAATTTGCAATTTGTCATTGATGGATGTAAGTATAGTCAGGGCCTTCCCCCCCCCCCACCCCCTCCCCACCCCCCCCCCCCCCCCCCACACATACACATAAAGCGAACGCTCACATGCATGCATGCATGCACACACAGACACACACACACACACACAATTATTGCATAAGATATTTTGCTAGACCAAACACAAACTAGCTAGCTGCCATTTTCCGAACATGATGACATTGTGATCATAAATAAAAGGCAATTAACATGAAATACAGAGCTCACAGTGCTGCACCAAGCACTCAGCAATAACAAACCATTGTCAGAAGCTTAAACAACTACAGAGCTTAACTGACTGCCTGGCTTATCCACCACATTGGAACTCAGTAACAGTATTTGTTTTGAATATCTTTCACTCATCTAAATACTGTTAGAAAGGGCTTACCAAAGGTCTTCCCCCAAAGGTGACATCTCCATCACCAAGGAAATCATCAAAGTAGACTCTCCCTGCTTTGTCTCGTTCAGCCAGGTCCAAAATGTTTTTGGTCATGTGTGTTTCTGCAACATCTCGGAACATTTTGTACACTGTCTCCATAACCTAAAATATAAGAAACATTTTCTTATTAAATGCCTTATTAGTCCCCTTGTGGGATGCAAATTTTTTGTTATTTTGAAACCCCACCTAATGTCTGAACAGGGTTTCTGGGACCTCTCCATGGGTGATCCTCATCTGCATGGTGGCACTTTGTGTCACCAGGTGTTTATCGCTTGTGTGATGTCCTGATGGGGTACAACTTACCTACCTATTAAATACCTAACAATTCCTGAGCATTTATAAGTTTCTATTGAAGTGATATGTGGCAGCCAAGGTGTTTCTGTGGCCTGCTTGCCAAACAAACCAAGGGTCTTGGGGTGAAACAGGTACTGAAGAGATTTTTAGCAATTGACCTTTGACTCCTAGGATGATCTAGCCTAATAAAGAAACCAGGAGTTGTCTTGGGACAATTGTAGATGGTTGCAAACATGTTAACTACATAATCCACTGAGTGCCGTGTAATCTATAAAATATATTAGTAAAACGCTATAAGCCCGATACACTAACATCATCATCAAGTGCCTTTCCAGCTGGCATAGGGGTTCCTGTATCTCCACAGATCTTGGTCTTTGGTGTCTTAAAATGGTCTTGTACTGTTTAAGTTTTTGTGTTTTTACTTGACTATACACTTTTCTTACCTCACAGTACCTTAACTTAACTTTTGGTCAATAGTGTAGATAGGTGGGCTTATTGAATTTTAGTCATGGCAAGTTTTCTGCTTATGACATTTGTTAGCCTCTGCATTTTCCTCCATATACAGACTGAAAGAATATAGTTTCAAAGCCCAACTGCTGAGTTCATGGCATGACACTGGATGACACTGCAGATTTTGCAATAATTTTTTACTGTACCCAATTTGAAGAAGCAGAAGAAATTTAGAGTCTTGGTCAGTTTTTATAACAAAGGAGTTAAAACATATGACCACCAAACAGACAGGCAAGCCAAAAAAATTAAAAAATTTCAGTTGCATCAAGTCACTGGAATTTGAAAAGAACCCGCCCCACCCCCCAACCCCCATCCTCTGGAAAAAAGTTGTGGTCTAGTAAGGCATTTAACCATTAAATACTTCTTCTTCTTCATGTTCACCAGCTGTAAACTCTGGGGAAAAGTTCTGGTTGTTTGTTACCTCCGGACTTTAGTCTTATTCCATAATCTGAGTGTTGTGTGCACATCTGTTTTACAGATCTGACTTATCTGTATGCAGAATGCTGGTTTCTTGCCTCTCAGGCATATGCACTCCAACTTCGAAGGAAGCCTCCAGTTAGTCAACTCTTACGACATGCCTGTTGGGGAGGCAGTGAGTCTATTCTTATTTTCCTCACAATGGTGCCCATGGGCTAATCCCTAAATACAAATGGAACAAAGAATAAACTGCTTTCACTTATTTTGACCAAGAAATATATGGTTTTGTTAACACAGCCATATCTGACTATGACTTCTTTTTTAGTTCATTATGTTGCAAATATGACATAATAATGAAAAATTTTATACTTTTCCTCACTCTAAATAATTTTTTGAAATATAATTGTACCCACCATGTCTACATACTAATGCAGTTGCAACCAGCTCCAAAACTGTTATCAGGCACAGTTACCTATGGCAACAGCCAACATGCCATCAAAAATCCAGACAAACCTAGATCTCTGCATTTAAGGGTTAATAGGGAAAAGAGTTTCATGTCTTTTAACTGTCTGGGTGACAAGCGCCTCACTATGGTCACTGCAAAGATAACATAGTGTTCTTGCCTTCTTCATCAGCATCTGTGGCTTAGACATTGTGAACATGCTTTGCAATGCTGGGGTACTGGGTTTGATCCCAGCTGCAGGTGCTATCGCAGCAGAATTTCTTGCATTGGTTTCAACAGTGGTTTTGAGAGCTGACTGTTCAGTTTTAAATTATAAAAATATATATATATTATATAATGTTATATATATGTAATGATAAATAAACAGACTGTATGAAGCTTTGGCTGCAGGTAAGGTTCAGAGGCTGAAAAGAGAAAATCGTGTATGGCTCAAGCAGAAGACACAATAATGCAAGTATGCATGTTGGGGAAAATTTGGCGAGGAGAGGAGTGAATCAGAGTACCAAAGGAAAAGTCTGACCTGTTTAGGGTTTTGATTACATTGGGCTGGGAGTGCAGAGAGTGGCCAGCGGGTGCTACGGAGGTGGATGTCCAACAGTTTATTCACGACAATTCATGCCCAGGTGATCTGATTATCTGTACAGATGGTTTGGTGTTAAGAGGAAAGAAAAGTGACTGCGTGTTGATAGCGAAAGCCAATGGAAAATCTTTAGTGCAAGACAGCTTAGCATACAACACCACAACATCTAGCATGAGAATGGAGGTGGAGGTGGTAACTGCAGCTTTCTGGTGGATAGAAACAAAGATGCATACTCATGTCATAACTGTAACAGAATCTGAAGGCATGCTGAGAAAGGTGAAGACAGGGATGCTTCAAGCAGAGTAGCAAGCTTCACTGGGAAGGTCACGGGTAGTGAACATACTTTGGATTTTTTACTCCAGGTCATGCCGGTGTGGTGGATAATAAACAGGCAGACAGACTGGCTGGATCTGCACCTGGATGGTGAACTGATACATGAAAAGGCAGATGTGGTCAAGACCCTTTGGGAACAAGCAATGGAATCAGTAGAAAAACAAAATTATTATGGCTAGGAGAGAATGAGGTGTAACCAGAGGGTCTGGCCGGCTTACTACACTCAGAGGAAAGGCAAGACGGATATATAAACAGATTGTGACCGGTACCATCAGTAATGTAACTCTGCAGTGGCTGCTGAAGATGAGGACGGAGCACACATAGAAATGCCCGAGTGCTGTGATATCAATTCTTGACTCAGCTCAACTCAACTCAAATGGTTTAACATTATTACCATACAAAACAAACAAACAGAAATCCTAATAATATAATTTTAAGTTACTTTTTCAGGTTACCTCGAAGGGAAGAGTTCTATTTCTCCTGTATGTCTCCAGTACAGCGACAGTTCTGGTAAAAAACCAGTAGAATTCCATACGGGAAGGGTAGTAGGTCAATGCCAGGTCAGGTCGGCCTGAGAAATTATTCCTGATCTCATAGGCAATTAGCATGGATGTGTTGTGGTATATTTGCTGGGGAATATTTAGTATGAATGGATGAGCAATGAGTGGATGAATGGGTGGGTGGATGGATGGATAGATGAATGAATGGATTAGGGGTGGATGAATGAGTTGAGAAATGCATATGTGGTTTGATGAGTGGATAAGTTGATTCGTGGATATACATATAAGTGGATGAGGGTAGATGGATGGATAAAGGGGTAGATTAGTGGGTGGATATATGAGCTCATAAATGAATATGTGGATGAATAAATGGATAGGTTGATTGGTGGATGAATACATGGATGAATGGGTGGATGAATGGACAGCTGAATGGTTGGATGGATTAAATAAGAATGTTTATTACTGTACACCAACAGTGTGAGGAAGCAAGGATTTCCAAACAAAACTCTGCAATGGACATTGGAAGTAACTAGAGATAAAGGACTATACATAAATGATATCAACAAAACTGCACATGACAGAACTAAACCGAGAAACTAACTGTGAGCCTTATGTAGTATGGGAGCTGCCATGGTGTGGTGGCTAGGCACTCGCTTGCAAACTCGAAGATCATGGGTTCAAATCTACATTAAGCCAGATTATTCTTAAAAAGACCTTGGCTCTCAGGTCGACCGAGCCTTAAATAGGTACCAGGTAAAGTCCTAGAAAGTACAGGCAGATGGCATAATGTAGACCACATCACCCAATGAATGTTAATTAAACTATAGGTCTATGTCTATATACCAAATATGCCAAGTGTGATAAAAGGTCCTGTGTAATGTAACCTAGCTTTCCCTGTGGGATCCCGGGTCCCATTGTGGAAAAGCAAGAACAGACTAACTTCCCCCTCACCTCTCCCAAAGGTATGTCACTGGAGTCAACTAATTGGGAGCATTCTTTGGAGTCTATCTTCCTGAGAGTCAAGGAGCCGAGAGTCTGCATTTAAATAGGCCAGATGTATGAAACGGATGTGCGCGCAACACTAGGGTTCAGGAAAAATCATAAAGTCTGGAGGTGAATGAACTCCCAGAACTTTCCACCATAGTTTACAACCAGTGAACATGAACAAGTTGAATAACTAGCCACATGGCTAGCTGATGCAAAAAAATAAAACAAACCAACCTCTATGACTGGGTCCTCCAGGGTTTCAGGGCTTAGCAGACCAGTGAGGACTCCTGAGGTGATACTATAGACAGTGTTTGCTGAAACAGTCACATCTATGTTGTTAATTCCAAATGGCATGGCAACTCCAAGGTAAAACTCCTTACGCTCTTCGTCTACATTCTGGATCTGTAATTAGAAAATAAATGTGAAACCTGAAATAGATCTTGCAAGGGGAAATGAGTTTTATTAACTGAAAAAGACTAAAGAAATGAATGAATAAAAGTGTGGAGAATTCACATCAGTGCTCCCAGGATATTTCCAAGTGTGAGAAAGAAAGTAGAGGACCCTTTTCAAGCCATATGGTGCTAAACCCATTTTGTATGGATTAGGCTTGTAGGTAGAAATATAGATACTGCACTGCTGTCCTTGGTTTCCTACTACATACACTACATATATTGTAATGTGCTAGCGGGAAGAAGGAAAACGAAAAACACAGCAATAGGAGGGTAAGGAAAATTGTGATAGGACAAAAACTAATAGTTCCCAACTAAACAGCAAAACAGGAAAGTAAAGAAAAGACAAGGGGTTCTTGTGCGCAGGTGTCCTGGAATATTGCGCCGGAACCCAGACAAAGGATATATGAACAACTCTATGTTACACACACTAAAAAACAAGATGGCAACACACACCTAAATGAATGGACTTAGTTAGTTAGTCTTTCCTCTTGTGTCGAGTGCGGCACATAGGGCAGAGGTCGCGACTCTCCATGCACGGCGGTCCGTTGCAATCCGTTGTAGGTCTTGGATGTTTGAGTGGCCCATGAGCGAGCCTTCCCTGATGATAGTTCTACGTAGGGTTTCCCTTGGTCTTCCACGAGATCTTTTCACCTGTGGTGTCCAAATGAGGGCTTGGTGAGGAAGTCTTGATTTATCCATTCTAAGGGCGTGGCCGACATAGTTCCAGCGGCGTTTTCGTATAAAATTAGACACATACTCTTGCCTGGATTCTTGCCTTATTTGTGTATTGGTTCGGAAATCTGACCATTTGAAATTTAGTATTCTTCTAAGGCATTCATTTTCAAAACTGTCTAATTTTGTGTCTAGAGTTTTCGTTGATTTCCAGCTCTCGCATCCATAGGTTAGTACTGGAATCACACAAGAATTGAAGATCTTGAGTTTTGTGTGTTTGCTAAGTGTCTTTGATTTCCAGATGTTAGACAGTTTATTGAAGGGACTAGATGCCAGTGCTATTCTAAATGATATTTCTGGTGTGGTATCTCCTGTAGATGACATCTTGCTCCCTAGATAAGTGAAACTGTTGACTTTTTCAAGGCTGTTGTTGTTCAGCGTGATATCAACTGAACTGTTGGTAAGGTCTAGAATTTTTGTTTTTGCGGTGTTAATTTGGAGTCCAATTTGTTCTGAGAAATTCTGGAGTCGATTGATTTTTTCTTGGGCGTCTGTGTGTTCTGAACTCAGGAGTGCTATGTCGTCGGCGAAGTCTAGGTCTTCCAGAATTTTGTCAACCCATGTAATGCCTAAATTTGCGTTATTTATGCACTTGCGCATGACCCAGTCGATTGCTATACCAAAAAGCATCGGCGATAGGACACAGCCTCGCTTCACTCCTGTTTCCACCGGGAACCAGTCAGAATTGCCGGAATGAATGGACTACAGATCCTAAATTGAATTAAGCAAATGAATGATATTCATCACATTAAACAGCTGTTTATTTTACTGAACTGGACACAAAATTAACGTCACAGATAATACATTACCAAAACTGACATGCTCGACCAGAATCTAAAGTGTTTATCATCTCCAGCTAACAAGGAAATATGATAATGAATGCATACGCTCAGAAAAATTACCTCAACAATGTCAAAAACCAAAACATATTAACATGTACGTTAAGCTTCAATATGCCACCAGACCAGTAATTCACTTTTAGCGACCTGCAGTCAAACTATCTCCGAACAAGGAAACACACATCTACCCATACAGTTTAACTTCTAGAAATACATTCATATTTAACTATGGAAACATTACACCGCCATGAAATCAGCCAGGCAACCAGTCATCTTCTGCAATCGCCCGTACCCATGCTGTTTAGCCCAATGTAAGGAGCCATAACAGCTGGGTGGGTCTCCAGCCCCCTGAGCGACCGCAGGTTCAGTCCAGAAGCCAAAATGAGACCGGTTTTTGGTGAATTGGCCTTTTTATCCACAGTGGCTAGACTTCTTTGCATTTGCAAATTAAACTAAATCAAGGTATTTGTCGTCACACGTCTACAGTAAGTAGACAAAAAAAATTATGACTGTATCAAGAACAATGGGATGGCTGTATTAAGAACATTAGTATGGCTGTATCAAGAACATAGGTATGGCTGTATCAAGAACATTGATATGGCTGTATCAAGAATATGGTATAGCTATATCAAGAACATTGGTATGGCTGTAGCAAGAACATTGGTATGCCTGGGCACGCAAGAATTCACACAACGCATACTGAGTAACTCAATGAATATTCTTCCAAAAAATCCAGGCTGGCTTCAATCAGACAAGCGGGTTTTGGAGGCAACAAACATGCAGATTATCCTGCAGATTCTGCAGCTGCTATGAGTGGTTCAGTAGTGGACAGAAGCGATATCATAAATGCCACACACAGCATATATTTTGAAGATGAATACATCAATATTCCATTTCCATATCCAGGCTGGTGGACATAAGGGTGCAACATGAAGCTGAGAGAAATGAACATTTTACTGAGGACACAAGATGTTTGATCAATCAACACTTCCATGTGGGAGGACCTCATTGTGGGGACAACACAAATAGAACCACTGCTTCCACAGCAAGCATGTTGTAGGAGTCAGCTAACAGGAAGCTTCCTTTAAAGTCAGAGTGCATTTGCATGAGAGGCAAGGAACACAGTCTGCATACACATAGGTCAGATCTGTAAAACAAATGTGCACACATTGCTCAGGTTCTGAAACAAGACTAAAGACTAAAGGTGGGTAAGTAATCAGAACTTTCCACCTCAGTTTACAGCTGGTGAATGCAAAGAAGAATAAGAGGATTAATCAACAAAGAACAGGTGTTATCAGTTATTAAGCTATTGAGGAGGAGATCAGAGCCACCATGGATATGTCCAAAGTGCTGTAACCATAATCCTCGGAAACACAATCTCTATAATATAATTTATAATAATAATTATTATTAAATTATTGTGTTATAAAAAGTACACCTACCCATGTAGGAACAAGGGCAACATCCTGTCCATTTACCTGAGCGATGTCAAGGAATCCTCTGATATGAAAGTATGTTCTTGGATCAATAGAATTCAGGGTGGGATCCGAAGAGAAAGGTCTGTAAGCATATTTCTTCAGGGCATCAAATACTGCAATATTGTTTCAATAGAATTTAAGCTTGTATCAGAAATGACAGAAATGTGTGCAAACCAGTATATTTATGACATATGATGACTCTGTGCAGTCATTTATTTAACACTCCCTCTTCCTTCAGCTAAACTTCAGCAAAGCTATTCTCTCTCTTTTCTGTTTCTTTTGTTGGTTGGGATGGGTAGGGATGGGGGTCTCAGTGATAAACTGGTCAAGCCATTTGCCTCTCACTCTAAAGGTTGTGTGGGTTCAACTCATGGATGTGTTGTTCAGTTCACAAGTGCACTTTTAATGGAGACAGTGTTCAGGCTTTTTGTGCTATGTTGTTAGCAGGTGGCTAGCTGTTCCTGGAAAGAGGCTGGGCCACATGGGATAAACTCCAGTGCAGCGAAGTCAATCCTGTCAACTGTAACATTATCATTATTTTAAACAAAGAAGACACAAACAATAGACTGCACAATTTAGTGCCTGGCATAATTTGCTGTTTCTTGTCAGGTGCATACTACAGTAACAAATGATTAAAATGAAGCAAATAGCTGAATCCTAGAAACTGAAACACAAATTCAAGTACATTCTGAACTGTCTGTTTCACCAAGGTAACCGTAAGTTACTGTAACCGTCATTATTTTAAACAAAGAAGACACAAACAATAGACTTCACAATTTATTGCCTGGCATATTTCGCTGTATCTCGTCAGGTGCATACTACAGTAACAATTGAGTATGCACCTGATGAGATACAGCGAAATATGCCAGGCAATAAATTGTGAAGTCTATTGTTTGTGTCTTCTTTGTTTAAATTCACATCGGAGAAACACTGCTTTGATTATCATTATTCTTTTACTGACTACTAACAATGAGATGTGAAATCAGTTACTTTAATTTTATTGAATTGTTTTAACATAACTGAATACACAACATATAAAACCAATGTAAAAGTAAAAAATTAATGAATAAATTATTTTGAAGAAACTATGTGATGAACACACACATACACAAATCTCTTCTGTTAAATATCCCATAAAGAAAAATTATATCACATAATTCTCCAGTTTAGTGAGGCTTTTTGACTGCTGGCTATATTTTCCCATCTTCAATTACCAGTCTTTCCCTTGTGGGATGCAATTTTTCGTTATTTTGAAACCCTACACTGGTTCTTGCCAGGGGCCGCAATATAACCCAGCCATAAATATGGTCTAATAGCTGGACGCGGTTTCCGGGACCTATCCACGGGTGATCCTCATCCACATGGTGGTACTTTGTGTCATCGGGTGTTTATCGCTTGTGCGATATCTTAGTAGGGTAAAATGTAGTACTACTAATAATCCCATCTTCAAAATGTTACTAGAAAAAGTAAATTAAAGGACCCTCTTCCACTCCTTCAGGCATATTGGGCATATAGAGCTAGACCTATATTTTTTAGACCACTTTGCTCTTGGTGGCTGTTGTGACCAGCATTACACTGGCCGCCATTACTGCACATGTTGCAGTGGCTTTTTGAAATAATTGACACTGTCTCACAGTTCAAGTATTCTTGACATTCAGTGGCAAATTTCTGTCTTTCCAGACGATAGTGTTATATTGCGTTATGAGGAGGCATGGGACTCACACCCCATTGCAATGGTGAGTGTGACTAGAAAGACATGCCCGTGTCAAGAAAAGTCTTCCACAATGAGAGTAATCACTCCTGTTTATGCCATCATTCTGCAAGCAGCATTAGGATTATTTTTCTTACGCTTTCTTATGATCCATCTCTGAACATCATCTACCTGAGGTGATGTTTGGATTATGGCTCCTCCATTGTGACCAGGCAACCGGGAATTCATCTTTCTGCTGATGCAGCAGTGACCCCAGAGCCAAGTTCACAAAAGTGTCATCAAAATCTGGCGGTAGGCGGAAAGCCATCAAATACGTGGACCTAGTTTGTGAAGAGTAAGGTATGACAGTTAAGTATATCAGACACAGGAAAACCTCAACAAAAACAAATTCTCACTATAATTAGCATCAATCATCAAAGCAGCTTTACCCAAAAGGCAAACTTAACATTCTCTAGCTATATTGGTGTTCATGTTTTAGGATACCCTCCTACCTCGCATTTTTATCTAAATGGGGCACACAACCTCCCTTTCCTGTTTCTACCAAGGGTGCTGGAATGTGGGGCCTAGGGCGTGTGACCCCCCCCCCCCCCCCCATCCCCACCCCAACAGATTTAACCTATCCACACATACCTAGAGCGCATACAGAATGCAGCTGTGTGGGTCATTCTGAGTTGTTCCAAAGACACGCCGGTGGTGTGTATGAAGTATATCTTTGGTTTGCTGACTACTGCAGGTAGGCTCAAGATGCTGCAGGTGAAGTCATGTCTTAGAGTAGTTGCAGATACAGATCACCATTTGCATGAAGCTCTGAACGTAGTCAAGGGTCAGAGGCTGAATAGGGGAAGTCATTGATGACTCAGGCAGAAGACACAATCAGACAGGTTTGCATCCTGGAGAACATTAGGCGAGGAGAGGAGTGGGTCAAAGTGCCAGCTGAACAGTCAGATTTGTGTAGAGTCATAATCACATTGAGCCGGGTGTGCAGAGAGTGGCCAACGGGTGGCAAAAAGGTGAAAATTCAGCAATTTATTCAAGATAATGTTCAGTCAGAGGATGTGGGTATTTTTTTATACAGATGGTTGAGTGTCAAGAGGCAAAAAAGTGCTTAGTGTTTCTTAGTTAATGGTCAACTAGGAGAGCCTAGTACATATTACCACAACATCCAGCTTAAGAATGGAAGTGGAGGCGGTCACTGCAGCTATGGTTAGAGAATATACCCACACATGCATGCATGCACGCACTCACGCATGCACACACACACACATACATCGTGAGTGTAACCAACTCAGAAAGCATGCTAAAGAATGTCAGGACATGCTTCTTGCAGAGTGGCATGCTTCGCTGCGGAGGTCAAGCGTGAGGTGTATTGTCTGGATCTTTTCTCAGGAACACACTGGTGTGTTGGGAAATGAACAGGCAGACAGAACTGGCTGGCTCTGCACAACTTAGTGGAATATTGATGCATGATAAGGCATCTTTAAACTGTCTTTAGGATGTCACCATGCTCATTGTCACTGTGATGTCATTGCTTAACACTGTTGACATCCTCAACAACAATCCTGATAGGTTACAAGACAATGGCATGGCTTTTGTAATTTCTGTCACACTATTAATGTTTTCATTTTAAACCTGTACATGTATGTTAAACTCAAACCATCTGTAAATTTAACAATTACATTAACACCACTCACAAAGCTTAATATTAGTCAAAATAAAAGCTTACTCTTGTTCTCTGATAAACTCAACTAATTTGGCCAAATCTTTGAAACCAAAGTCTTTGAGAAGAACTTCGATCCAGTAAAGGGGAAAATTATTCAGGAGCTGAAAAGATCCCTAGAAGCAGACAACAGTCAGAAAATAAAAGTAAATCAAAGTCATATCCAAGTGACAAAAGCATGGTAACTAAAACAGGAAATAGACCTATTTCTACAGTATAAAACATACTGTGTAAATGGTAAGTAAAACACCTGTACTTAATGCAAATTTGATTTCTGAACATCAGTCACCTTTTTCTTAACCTGTGTTTGCCCTTAAAAGGATTGTTGGCACACTGTGTTCTGGTTTACAGCTAGGCTGCAATATCTTCACCGTCAGGTTTTAATAAACCCCTAGTTAGTCACCATTTTATGACATGCTTGTTTGAGAACAGTGCATCTATTCCACCACACCCCCCCCCCCCCTCCCCCTGAATTTACTTGGTAGAATATTTCCTGGTTGTAATGTACCAGAATATTTCCTTGCTGAATGTACTTGCCAGAATATTTCTTGGCTGAATTTACTTGCCAAAATAATTCCTGGCTGAATGTACTTGCCAGAATACTTGTTGGCTAAATGTACTTGCCAAGATAATTCCTGGCTGAATGTATTTGCCAAAATATTTCCTTGCTGAATGTACTTGCCAGAATACGTGTTGGCCGAATGTACTTGCCAGAATAATTCCTGGCTGAATGTACCTGCCAAAATATTTCCCGACTGATTGTACTTGCCAGAATACGTAATGGTTGAATGTACTTGCCAGAAAAATTCCTGGCTGAATGTACTTGCCAGAAAAATTCCTGGCTGAATGTACTTGCTAGCATTGTTCCTGGCTGAATGTACTTGCTAGCATTGTTCCTGGCTGAATGTACTTGCCAGAATTGTTCCTGGCTACATGTACTTGCCAGAATTGTTCCTGGCTGAATGTACTTGCCAGAATTATCCCTGGCTACATGTGCACAACAAAATTGTTTCTGGCTATATGGCAAACCAGATTGAATTCTGGAACCTATTTTAGGCTTGGTCGACCTAAAAGCACAGGTCAGTTGTTAAAAAATCTAACCTCCCTGGTGATGTAAACACATGACCACCAGGCTGGCAGACAGACAGTATTGGTAGCCACTGGACCAAAGGAGTTGAAGTAACAAGTGGGATAGGATGGGTTAATGCTGTAGGTGAATAGGACATACAAAGTTAATAAAGACAAATAATGAAAGGGAAACCTAAAACAAGCATGGCCAGTTGATTAGAACTGAATGAGTTAAATAAGATAGCTGATTGTGACCATTACTGGTGTGTGTGTGGGTTTTTTTTTTTTTAAATATAAAATTCATGAAAGCCACTACCAGATCTGCAACTGAATTTGTTTTGTCTTTTGACAGTGTAATTATTTATAGTTTGGAACATTTTTACTATTGTTCAAGGTTCTTTTTCAAGTTTCAGTTTTAACATTCAGTTCAAGGTTAATTTAAAAGGCTCAGGTTAAAAGTTCATTTTCAAGGTTCAGTTTCAAACTTTAACTCATTGTTTAAAATTTAGGGTGCAGTATTTAATTTCAAATTTCAGGTTCAAGGTTTAAAGTTCAGTTTCAATGTTATGTTTTACCGTTAAGTTTTCAGATTTAGTTTCAAGGTTCAGTCTTAAGGTGGAGATTCAAGGCTCAGTCTCAAAGTTCATTTTTAACCCTTTAGAGACTGAGCCTTTTTGTAGTTTCAGTGCCAAGAAGACAAAGCCTTCAGAAGGGGATTCTCATAGTTTATACACAAAACATTGCAAAAAATAAAGCGTTCAATTAACATATACGGAACTAAATATTCGTGAAGGAAATTGAATGAACCAATAGAAAATTTATGAATCAAACTAAAATTTAAACATTTATTTAAATTAACTATTCTGATTTACATAATTTATGCAAGCATTTTTTAAAAAAAAACTTGGAAACAAACATAACTAACCTGAAAAATGTTGGTGAATTTTTTTTTATGGATGAAGCTTGAATAAGTCCTAACACTTGTATTTTGGGAAGCAAGGCCCTTGGAGGCCCTTCAAACACATCTGGCACATGGTTCTAGCCATTTTACTGCCTCCAGCTATGTTTCAGTTGCTATGAAGCAACAGTCCTTTTCGCCAATTTTTGGGCACAGGTAACCCCAGAAAAAAAAATCAATGTAAAATTACAGAACATATCAAACTTTCTTGAAAGTTGTCAGTTAACAGCCCACATGTGCAAGAAATGCGAAAAGCAGTCTAACTGGCTGATGCGAAAACCTGCCAGCCAATATCAAGGCTTTTATTACACAGGGCCTTCTGGCTACTGTGCGCTGGCCCGATATTTTGGCCGCGTCGTCTCCAGAGGGTTAAGGTTTGTTTTCAAGGCTTATTTTTACAGTTCAGCTACAGGGTTAATTTCATGATTCAGTAGTGGAGGCTATTTTGGCTAAGTCTGCTCATAGTACATTCAGAATTTAAATGAATAAGTATTTATTTTGTATGTTTATTATGTAAATTCCAGTGAAAAAAAAATAAATGTTAGTGTATATGGCATGCATCTTTCCTATAGCAACTTACCCATATATAGGTAAAGATACTTCAAAGCCTTTGCTGTGAGAGAGTTTGTGTTAAATTCCCATCTTTAATCAACATACTTACTAGAAGATTCACTGGTTGACACTGCCAGTAATTTATTGATTGATTTAACTGCTGTTGCCAGAAAGTCATTTTTGATGTGTTGTAATGTGTATTCTTGTCTTGATATTCTTTCATTGCCTGTAGAAAATATATTAACACATAGTAGAAATAATTAGCGGACCCCTTTCTATACCTACCTGGGAGCTGTGGTTATTAAAATAACAATGTGGGTCGTGGAAGCTTATGCTTCCCCCCCCCCCCCCCCCCCCCCCCCCCCCCCCCCCCCCCCTTCCCTCCATGTTTTCTCTGTGCTGTTGTGCCTGATCATGTATTTGGTGCCAGCTTCATTTTTGACATTTTTATGGTACTCATTTTACTTTTTCAGTCCTATATTGTGCCATGCGTTTATTTGCTATTCCAAAGACAGTACACAGAGCTTGACTTTTTTTCTCTCTCCCATAGTTGTTACATTAATCCATTATTCTGAGTGTTTATCTTAACTTATTGTGCCCATAGTGCTTTTAATTTGACTTTTCTAGAGTCAAAAACTGGCTACTGTAAACTAAAATACTTTATGACATAAAGAGCAATAGTAATTATAGGCTGGTTCCCCAAAGACTTAAGACTGGATTTACTTGGAAATCCAAATGAATTGATTAAATCTGCTTCTTTGTGAAGTCAAAGACATGACCACCATGCCAACTGGGAAGTGTCTTAGCTATTAAGTCTCTGTGCCTCCCCAAAACATTTGATGGTTGGGATAAGTTAAGAACTTTCATGTGTGGGTTCATGGGCCACATTTGGGGGCAGAGGGTGAACCAAAGAGACCCACTGCCCCTGTAATAAACATGTTATACACTTTATTGTGAGCGCCAAGGTTTCTATGGGACAATGTTCCCGCTTTATTTAAAAAGATAGCAAATGTAAGGCTATTAAATTTTTTTTTCAATAAAAATAAATAATTCCCATATTTTGGGGGTAAAAGACACTATAGAAATAGGCCGTTACGAAAATTTTTGCTTTTGTATTCGCTTCGGGCCGAATAGGGGAAACCCAATAAATTTCGGGGTTTTTGGCCGGGAAAAGGGGCGGTCGGGGCCCAAAACGAATAGTGGTTACCCTTTCCCTGTTTTTTGGCTGGGGGCAAAAAAAACATATTTAAAATTTTCCACCTTGGGTTTTATAAGTCAAGGGGTTATCTTTTTGCACCACCCACGAGCGTACCAATTTAACGTCTGTTTAGTAAGCGGGAAAAAACCCTTTAGTGAGAAAAAGGGAAAAAGCCTTAATTTCCCCGACAAATGGGAAAGATTTTTTTTTTAAACTCAGCTGCTTTTATGGAAAAAACTAAGCGGGGCCGGACTATTTACAATTTAGGGTTTTTTGTTATAAAATAAGAAAATTTATTTCCCAGGTATTGTTACCACCGCCAAAAGGGAAAAAATGGGGGCCCCAGTTTGAAGTGGGAAAAAAGAAGTTTATGGTATCAAAAAAAAATAATTTTCCCAAAAGTTTAATAAAAAATCAATGGGTTTTTTTTGGGACAAGTTTCAGAAATTTAAGGATCTGGGCACCTGGGTAAAATCCGATTTGGGAAAATGCAATCCCGAAAAAGAAAAAAGAAAAGGATAGGGAAAAATGCATTTTTAAAAAAAAAAGAACACTTATGCAAAATTATCTTTTTCATTGGGGGTTGAAAAAGGGAAATTTTTTCTTTGGGGCTACCTCCGTTTTTAAAAAATGGCTGTAAGCTTTGGCCCAAACGGTAGGAAAGGGCCAAAAAATTTTTGGGGGGCCCAGAGAATTTTGGTTTTAAAAGAAAGTGCTTTTTATACTTGGGACAGCCAACAAAAACAAAAAAACCCCAAAAAGGTTTTGGGTAGAGGCAGGACCGAAAAACAACATCATAGACCCTCAGAAAGGGGACTGTCGTCATTTTTCGAAATGTTATAAAGGGTGAGGGAAAAAGGGAAATTTAAAGTGACCCCCTGGGAAAAATATAGGGAAAGGGGTAAAAGGAAGCACGTTAAAGATTTTTTGTTGTCCCTTTTAAATGGCCTGGAGGTGTGTTTGCCCACCAATGAAACTCCCGCAGGAGACGCAGATTTTGGCGAGGGTGAAACGCCCCCCAGTCGGCAAAACACCTGATGATTATGATTTTACTATTTGTATTCGATTCCCCCGATAGGGGGTCCAGTATTTGTATTTGGTGAATAGGAAAAATGACTATTCAAAAAGCCCACTATAGAGTTTTTTAAAAGGTTTTTAAAACCTGGACTTCTTTTACTCTCAAAACAGGAGAGCTCATTTTGCAATGACTTCTGTGCTCTTAGATCTCTGTTTGCTTTACAGGGAAAAAAGGGGGAGGTCCCCCTGAAATCGATGCCCGGGGTTCAGTAAATAAATCAAAGTAATCTGTTTTGAACAATTTTTGATGATCATAAACGAATTCCCGGGTTTTCCCGGGGGGATGGTTTTTTTGTCCGTTGATCTTGAAGTGTCAAAAAACCCGTATGTGGGGGATCAGTGGTTGGTGATGAGCAAACAAGGAAAAAAAAAAACCCCGATAAATGCCAAAGGCCCGCCACTCAGAAAAAAAAAATTTTAAAGAAAGCCCGTCTTCTTCTTCTTTTTTTCTTTTACCTTCTGTCAGAAAAATTATATCAGGGGGCCCCCAGCCTTTATGGGAAAACTATCGGGGCAATTCCAATCCCCTCGTGTACCATTTATTCTGATGGTTTAATACCCCAAAAAAAACAGGTCATTTTAATTTATTACAATTTTTTTTTGGTA